AGTCTGGGGGAAACTCCTCCAATACCTCCACATCTTTAACTGCAACCCCAACAAATCCCCCCTGTCCACTCCACCAAAACCCATTTACTCCCCTACACAGGACACATCCTGTGGCAGATTCTCCCCCCCCCTACCCCTTAACCTCGAGCTCTTAAAGTTCTCCGCTCCTCTCGAAAAGGGGAAACATCGAAAGTAATATAACGGTGAAAATAAAAGTTATCATACAATCAAAAAAGCCACAAAACCAACACAGCCATCCTGCTTTTGTGGTTGTATGTGTACCATGGCGGAGGGGGGCGGTGTTTATGACTGAGTGTTAGCATGTACTGAATAAAAGGTGCCGCTGACTGCACATATGTATGAAGTGTGTCTTTAGTGGCACCGGGAGGAAGTCGATGAGGAGGGAGACACTGCTGAGGAGCACAAACACAAAACAGGACGGACTCTAAACTCCCCTCTCCTCATCAATAACATTGTCAATACTGATAATAGTTTAAATTAAATTGAGAAACATTGTTATTATTATGATTCTGATTATTATTGTTATTATTATTGTTGCTCCTGCATGAATGTACATTGCCCAAGTTTTATTTAAAAGGGTTTTAATTTTATTGGAGTGCTTTGGTTCTGATGGGCCTCGCGGCGGACTGCTATTTTAACTTAAAGACGGCCTCTCCGAGCTCCTGGCCTGCGAAGCCCCCTCCTCTGTGTGGCATGAACATGTACCCGACTGTAAAAATGTGTTTCATCCATAAACAGAAATGTGTTACGAGGTGGTAGGGCTCAACTTGCACAGTAGTTTTGCACCTGTCGGAAAGGAGGAACGCAAGATAATAATGATGATGATAGCATTTATGGGATATATTCTATAAATATAAATATATTTAGAGAGAGTTTATCTTTGTTTGTCGGCATGTTGCCTTGTTCCTGCTTCAGTGGCTCAAAAATACTTTGACTTATTTATGTCTTAAAGAGAATGTAATTTGTTTACAACCTCGTAGAGATAAAGTTCCTGGTTTCTAGAAGGAGAGGCGGAGCTGAAGCTCAGAAGGACCAGAGCTGTGTTGATGTGTTATTACTGACAAACCATGTGCTGGAATTTGCCTGCTATCTTTTCAATTATTGTAGATATTTTTAGAGGATTAACAAACAAAAAGAAACCAAAATATATTGGGATACGTAGTCAATGTGGAATCTTGGTATTACTCTATATGATTGTTGGGATCAAGTAGGAGTGGCTTGCCTTTCTAAACGGAGGCCTCCTTTTTGTGACAGAGGGGGAATATTTCATTCTTTTTTTCACTTCTCTTTTTTTTATTGTGTTTTCTTTTCTGTGCTTCAGCGCTGGCCTGGGGTCAGGGCTCGAGTCAAAGGCTGATATCAGGACCTTTACAGTGAACTGTCTTCTAGATAAACCTGCTTGTTCAAAGGACTTGATGTTTTAAAATATGTGTGACCATCCAGAAGGCTGCAATCGAGTCATATTAGAAAGCTGCAGAGTTATATTAGGCTTATCTATGCCGCATGGAAATCCGACTTTTTGTTTTTGTTAAAAATTTGGAATATATTGTATTGTTTATTTTTTTATTTAATTATGATTTATTTCCATTTACTCTAGCAGTGTGCACACGCAGCTCCACAAAGCTGTTGGCATTTTTAACATCTATAAAAGAAAAAAAAAGAAAACTGACACACACAAAAAAACTAACTTACAACAAACATGGAATGTTGCTTTGACTCTTTTATATATATATATAAAAAAAGATGATCCTTTTCTGCACTATCTGGTTATGAATGAAATCTTCTGTGGTGTAATTCTAGATGTGCTTTTGTGTGTTTTAACCAAGCTTGTCTTCCTGCCGTCACAGAATATACAGTACTCTAGCATCTCAACTGTACTCACTAGTTGTAAACTATTTATTGTGCTTTGACCAATCAGACATTACAGAGAGAAGTTACATACAGAAGACACATTTACCCTTTCTTATTGCACTCCGAAGGACAAGGCCACTTAACTAACTGTACTATTGTTATTTATAATACTAACCCAAGTCATTGGCAAGCATGACGTGAAAGGCTCATTATGCAACTTGAGAAAATAGATTTTTCTACTTAAAATAAATCCTATACAGTACTTCAGTATATACAATCATTTATCGGAAAATCCTTTTTTTTCCTTTTTTCTATCCTCCTCCTCCTCCTCTGTCATTTCCAAGTCGATCCGTCCATCTGGAGAGGGTGCACAAGCTTTACCAGTCAGCTCAGGCGTGTTGAAAAATAACATGGACCATTTCAATAAACTGTCTTATTTAAGTTGGGGGAAACACATCTGGATATTCTGCTTAGAAGCTGTTGATTTCTTTTGTTTCCTTTCCAATGTTTTAACTTGACAATTTATTTGTTTATTTGTCTGTAAAAAATGTAAAACAATAAACTAAACAAAAAAACAGCAACAACAGCATTTTCAATAAAAAAAAAAAAGAAAGACTAAAGCCAACATTCTCCAACCACTTTTACATCCAGGAGGACATTCAGCTTTAAGAGGACGCAAAGACGACAAGTTTCAAAAATAATCTTTGTAAATACAGCAATGAGTCCACTGAGGACAGAAACTCCATGCGGACTGGTGTGAAAACAGGAACTCTTCCCGACTACATCTACCATCATGCATCACAACTCAAGTCATACTGCCGACACAGCTGTTTGGCTGTATGTAATCAATCACTGCTCCTGTCAGAAACACTTCAAAACATCATGATTACAACTGAGTGAAAACTCATGTTGTAACAGCCAATAATTATGTTGAAGATGACATCGGCGATGATGATGATGATTAAGGTTGATGATGATGATGATATCAATGATACTTCTTGCAATATACTCTCACCTGCCTCGATGTATTTAGCAGCATGCAGTTTGTGGAACAAAGAAAAAGAGAAATGCCATAACTTTTTGGCATACTTTATGGGTAAGTGATTTAAGTGTTCATCTTGTTTTTATGATATTTTTTTTATCTATACAATAATTGTAAATAAAGAACTCAATGTCTTTGTTCATTTAATACTATGCAAAAAGTCATGCTTTTCTGATTGTTACCCACCCTTAATCCTAGAGTGTGTTGCTGGAATGTTTGTGGTCTCAAAAGTCAGTAAAAAAATGTGATGTCAATTATTTTCTAGCTGGAAGAAAAAGTTAAATGATGATGAAAATTATTATTATGATACCATGAGGACGTTGACAACAATGGTGGTGACAGTGATGATGATGATGAACTGTGACTCTTGCTGCTTGACTGTCCCATTTACCACACTCCTGACAGGAGCGCAAGTGAAAACCATAATAAAAAGGAAAAAAAGAAAAATCATTTAATAAATCTCCCAGAGCAGCATGACCCAGCATGGTGTGTCCTGGCCCCGTGTCACATGTCCTGTTCTGATTCGTTGTGCTTCACCTCTCAGTGTCCACTTTGATTGTGTTTCCATTTTCATTGTTGTGTTTATAAAAGGTTAAGCTTATAGAAGATGTTTGGGCTTTTCCGTGGGAGTTTAGTTACACATGCCTTAAAACATCTGCCGCCTGCAGCATGCCAAAGTGTTTTGATGGGAACGGAGGGGAGGGATGGTGTTTTAAGATCAGCAGGTTTAATTTATACCATGGTCACCTTCTCTATAGTTTAGTATTAGCATTCTAACATGTTAACATTGGCACTAAACTCAACATACAGTAGAGGTCGATGGGCATTCGTTTTGCAGATTAAAAAACAAATTTGCTGGTATTTGCTCATAAACCAAAGTGTTACATTTATTATTTTTTTTCCCTGAGATGGCTTTAGACATAAACTCGGCCATTTGTGTGTCTTCTTTAATTCCCTCTTAATCTTTTCACAATCAAATTCTGACCTGTTCAGTCATTTAATGATTGAGGGTATTTTAATGAGTCTGATTCATTACCCAAGCACTTTCCTTAAAGCTATATATATGTTTTAAACATGTTAAATTTATAGTATTGCCCATATCACTGTAGTGGTTATATTTAATGTTGTAATTATCACACTCATCGCTACACATTACTCTTCTTCTGTTACGCTTGCAAGATTCTCTGAGATTTTAGAGAGCTGTTGTTAGGCTGCCGCCTGCTAAAGTAGGTTTGCACAGGATTGTTCTCATCCTGTTTAAATGGGGGAGGNAAAAAAATAATCGTTTTATTTCGATTACGTTGTTTTCGTAATCGTTGCAAGCCATAATCGTAATTGCGATTAAAATATGATTTAATTGAGCAGCCCTAACACAGGGCCGTTGTACTTTTTGCTGACCGCAAGTTTAATGATTGCTTTGATTATTATAACAATGATTATGTCCAAGGATAATAAGTTGATCATCCCAGTTTTCATTAAACTGCATTATTTTTCAACAGAGTTTTGATCTCAGCAAGTTTAGCAAACAGGCCCGGCCTCAGCCT